AATAAATAGGCTTATCTTTTCAGAATAAAAAATGGTTATTGGTGTTTTATTTTTGCTTGGAGTAAAAAAAAAATATATATATATATATATATTTTTTCGGATGTTAAAAAAAAGAAAAGAAAAGGGTTTGACTATTTTCTGTGGAGCAGTTTAATTCTTGATCATTCTTGGTGGATGAATTATTAAATATTCAAAATTTTTGATTTTTTTCTTTGAGAGAATAAATCAAGAATATGAAAGTGTACATTGGCCAAACATGGCATAAAGACAAAAAGAATATTTTGTTGTTATCTTTATTAGTTGTCAGTCTTATTCATAAATTTACGATATCTCCTCAACTTTATCCATAGACTCTATCAAGACTAAATATTTCCGAAAACGTAATGCGAAACATGGCTGACAAAGTGAAACTATGCATGTCCGAGAAAATTACAATTTCTCATACACGCAATGGGCAAATGTAAGAGGAGCTAATTTAAGCCCACTAAATTAATTAGGACCAATAGTTCAAGGTTGATGGGCCCCGATTTATCGCCATCAAACGGGCCGAATCGCTCTAAGCCTCGAAAGGGTTCGAATCCATAAACTTAGAGATTTACTCGGACTCGGACTTGAAAGGGTTCAAATCTACAAACCTAGAGATCTGAAGCACTTGGCTTCCAACGGATTCAGACGCAATTTAGAAGCCGCTCCATTAATGAGTCCCAAAACACTTGTGGACTCGGAACTTTCTGGGATCTACGTACCAGAACCATGGGCGTAATGGAGTCTGAACAAATGACCCGATCTCGAGGACGGTGAGTGAAGATAAATTCACTCTTCGGTTAAACTAGCCTATACCTGGGTCGAGGTGGCACGATTTAGGGGGTCCTTGAGTGTGATAACCCCGTCTCGTATTATGCTAATTAATCTTAATTACGATTGTGATTATGTGTTTGATATGATTTTGTGTGCCATTTATATGAATATATGTAGTTTTGAATTTCTATCTGTTCACCGTAGGAATATCTGTTCAACTTACTGTTATAAACTGAAAATTGAAGGCCTTGTCGACCACAGAAATCGAAATTGACTACGCCATTGTGATTAGTGTAATTTTTAGAGCCTACGGTGAAATTTAATTGAAAATTGATTCGAATCAAATTAAATAGATTAAATTGATGAGTTAGTACTCAATTAATTAGTGTTAATGAAATATGATTAAGAGAGCCTATAAAAAGGGTCATTCTCACTCAATTCCTCTCTTTTAAACTCATTTGGCTGAAATCACACCTTAGAGAGAGAGAGAGAATCGGATTTAGAGAAAGAGAATGGCCAATCTTGAAGATCTTGCTAAGGAGCTCAAGCTTTGGAAGGCTAGGCTCAAGAATTTACTACAAATTGGAAGAATTGAAGCTCTTAGGTGAGTAATCAACCCTTAATTCATAGGTTTGAGTTTGTAACCATGTGAATTCAAGTAATTATGTGACCAAGAACAAGAATTGAGTAGTAATTGATGAATTTAAAGTCAATAAATGCATGCATGTGAGAAATTGTTATGAATTGGCATGTTTGAGCATAAAATGTATAATTCATGTTAGATTTTGATTGAAGTTCATATTTTTTACCATCTCTTCATCATCTAAGTTGAGAATAGGAGTTGTGTTCCACATGCAAGTGCAATTCATAGAAGCATGGGTGTTGGATGTATGAATTTGTTGTGTTGGAAATAAATTTGGCATGATTTGGGACATGCATGTATTTGATTTATGGGATTTGAGCTTCATAATGCTGTGATTTGGTGTTTGTATCATGTTGGTATATGTATATATATATGTATATATGAGAGTTATGGGCTGTATAATGCAAGAAATATCAACTTGAATGCATGGTTAAAGCTCAAGAACAATTCTGGAAAATTCAGAAATTGGCATGTCCGCTCGAGTGTAAAATGCTAGTTCCCAGAACTTTGTAGATATAGATGTCCGCTCGAGCGGGGAGCCATGTAGTGTGACGTTCAACTCGAGCGCCCAAACTCAAGCTTGAGTGTAAAATTAAGGCAATCAGTATTTTTGCAGACCAAAGGGGTCCGCTCGAGCATCCAAAGCCACGCTTAAGCGGGGAGTCCTGTTTATGAAATTTTGAAAAGTAGCTATATGTTTCATTTTCCGTTCTCTTTCATTTCTAAGCACTCTTAAGCATGCATTGAGCATTGTGAATGAGTTAAAATGATAAGAAAGAAGCGTAAGAGGAATGTATGAATTAAGAACGGATTGAATCGTTTGTGACCCATTATGTTCATGAAATGTGTAGGGTCAAGTACGGGGGCAAATCTATCGGCAGATCACTGTGAGTAATATCTTAATAGAGATATTTGAAGTATGTTATTTGTCCAATTGCCTACTTCCATATAAGTCTTTTAAGTTGTTAAATTGAATTGGGGACAAATATTTGTTATGCCATATGGTTGAGCCAAAGGCCGTTGGATACAATTGTCTGGGCCGAAGGCCGTTTGACATGAATGAATAAATGGGCCGAAGGCCGTATGACATGAATGAATGAATAGGCCGAAGGCCGTTTGACATGAACGAATAAATGGGCCGAAGGCTGTTTGACATGAACGAATGAATAAATGGGCCAAAGGCCGTTGGATACAATTGATCGGGCCAAAGGTCGTTTGACATACATGAACAATTGGGCCAAAGACAGTTGGATACGAATGGTTGGGCCAAAGCCCGTTGGATGAAATTGATTGGCCCAAAGGCCGTTTGATATACATGAATGAATTGGGCTCGAGGCCGTTTGTTAAGGAACGAAGTGGGCCAAAGGTCGTTTGATACGTTCGGGCTTGAATCGCCTAATGTACCAAAATAATGCACTAAATAGAATTCTACATGGGCCCAAGGCTGTTTGATATATGTGAATCTCATTTGCGTACCTTCTTTATTTGATATTATTCACTAGGCTTTCGCTCACACTCATTCACGTGTATGTAGGTGAGCAAAGAGATGTCCAAACCCAACCCCGGTGAAGTCTGTGAGAAAGGCCAAGTTTTGGAGAGTCAGCCCAAACGTCTCACGCATGAGACTTGTCTTCGCCTCTTTTGTTCTTTTGTTATAATTTGTTATGATGGTGAAAACACTGGATCACTTTTGTATATAAACTTTGGGTCTGACTGACTTAGACTTGAATGATCCTGTACGTATGGAACTGTGAATTATTTTCCTTTATGATGTGAGTTATTAATGAAAATATGTGAAGTGTTATGATGTGCCATGTAAGCACAGCTCTATAGACAAAATTTTTAAGTTACTTCCGTTTGGCCCCTTAACTCTGATCGAGTAAATTTATTTAGTTGGTTTGAGGCCGCAGGTAATCTCTTGATTACTGACTGGTTATGACCTTAACTCATAGGGGTGGGTTCGGGTCATGACACTAAGACTCGGTAATATTTGCGGCAGGGTGTTCTCTTGAACTACCCCTGACCCTTCTGCGGCAGGGCGTCCTCTGGGACTACCCCTAATCTTTTGGGATGATTGGGAATCATTAGTTATGTGTGGCTAAGAAGATTGTGGGATCATTTGTTAGGGCGTTCTCTTCAAGGATTTTCCTTATCCTCGGAGAGGTCACCTCCTCGGACAAGGTGGTTAGAGAGAATATTCTCCATGTGCCTTGTACATGGGCTTAGGGCTGGGCAACAAACCCACCCGCCCGTACAAACCGCCCGACCCTACCCTACCCGCAGTGCTTTGGGCGGTTTCGATGTAGGTAGGCAAAAAAAAAAAAAACTAAACCGCAAACCGAACCGCACCCGCCCGCACAAACCGCGAACCGCATCTCGGGCGGTTGCGGGTCCATTTTTCCCCAACCGCATAAGTGCGGGTCAGGTCATTTTTTTGACCCGCACCCGGCCAAAACCGACCCGCGAGCAGCCCTACATGGGCTCCATCCTACATCATAAGGTGCCTATAAATAGCACACACCCATAGCTTTACAAGGGATGGATTTTTTGAAGAAAAAATTCTTGGGAAAGAACTAATTTCCCTTATCTATTATCAACCTTAAGAGTGAAAGTGGGAGATCCATAGGAGAGCCTTGCCATTATTCTCTCTCTAACTACTTTGCATTCTTTTTCACCCAATCTCTTATCTCCATCATCTCTTTACTTTTGTGTTCTTAGTTATGACTGTTAAAGAATCTAAACCTTTCATCATCTTCTAGAGAATTCAAATTTTTCTTCAAAGATCTTTCAAAATTTTCAAATTTTTCAACGACGTTCTTGAACCTGATTATACAATGGTACAATATGATATAAAATTTCTAAGGAGTGGAAAAAGAGATAATAAGAAATAAAACTCTAATGTGAGACTTGAAATTCAAATATCTAGTCTAGTAAAGAAAAGTCTAATCACTAGTGTTATTACAGACACATAAAACAGATATAGAATTGTACATAATATATAGGAATGGACAAATTTTTTAAAAATTTGTTAATAAAACCCACTTTAAATTTTTTTTATCTATTTATATATATACACATCAATAATATGCTCTTTGTATGATTTGATTGAAATGGATAGCTCTATTTCAAACTACTAAATATTTATATATATATATATATATATATATATTATTTTCCTAATTCCATCTTGATTTATTTATTTATTTTTAACCAAACATCATGATTTATTTATTCATCCAGTGTTCAGGCACTTTGGGATCCATTTTAATTAGGACGATGTGTGGTGCGGTTCCCACAAGCGTAGAGTAAAATTATAAATTGAATGGCAGACCAGTAAATTAGGATTTAGGTGGTTTTAAGTGAGTTGACAGATTAAAAATTATTCTAATTAATTATCAAACATTTATATAACATATAGCACCAATTTACATAATATTTTTTATATATATAATACAAACTAATTTTACATGATATGCTTCATACATATAACTACTAATTTGTAATAAATTTCACATTAAATCTCTCTCATACTTATTTTTACTTTAAATTTTATTAGAGATTAAAACATATATATGCATTAACTGTAATAGAGCGGAACGGTTTTAAAAACGAATTATAAATTTTAAAATTTAATCCACAATTAACGGATAAAGTAATCCAGATTGATACGAATCAATACGATTTTGACGAATTAAGGGGTATTTTCCACAACCATAATTTTAACTTCAAAAAATACCCCACTCTTTTCTGAGTGCATTCTTCAAACCAACCATTTGATTTTCAGGAAGGATCACTGTTATTGTTCTTCCCTCTCCATTGCCTTGTTTGCCATTTTCTGGTCCTGGAAGCACCAAAACCGTCCCTTCATCGCCAATCCCAGCAGCCATATAATTTGCAAAAACCGGTTTCTTCCCTTTTAGTTGCAACCCATAAATATCTACCTCTTCCAAATCTACGAATGTGAGGTTGGCACCGTACACTATAAAATCCAATTTCTCATTTTTTCTCTCCACTAACTCCTCAATGACATTTCTCTCATCCAACATTTTTTCACCGATCAACTTGGTCAATTCTAGTAACTCCGCCTTCTCAACCTTGAAATCGGCTTTGACAATGCCAATCACTTGGCCGTTACTCGGGATTTCATTTCCTCTGTTGTGGGAATTGTTTTTACATATCGTCACCACCCTTGGCTCGGATTCTCCCCTTACCTTAGCTAGAGATCTCCACATTAACGCGGCGAGGATTTCAAAAAATTGAGATTGAGTAGCTTGGTTTAGGCCAGGGGTCATTGAGAGTATATGATCAAGTTTTTTTGGAGTAATATGGAAGGAATGTGATTCCATTTTGCAGTCATTGGCAGTTAGCCAATAATCACCAACTGGTTCTACCATTTTCAGGGAAAATGGTTTCTCGGAAAGTGTAGGTGGGAATTGGCAAATTTCGGAGTTTGGGATGTTGCGGAGAGGCTGAGGTGGCAGAGGAGTATGACCTGCCATGATCTGGCCCCACTTGTTGATGAATGTTGAAGCCGAGAATGCATCACCAAGGATGTGGGCCCAGCTGAGTCCAACGGATAATCCTCCACATTTGAACCATGTGAACTGAAATAATGTAGGAAATAAATAAATAAGTCACTTGGGATTGTATTATGTTCAAAAAATTAGGGTCGCACGGGTCTATTTTGGTAATTCAATTATTTGTTAAATATATTATTCACGAAAGAAATTAATTTAATGAAACATTCGTGATTTTATGATTAGATTTAAAGAAATTATTAAAATTTATTTTTGTTTATTTAAATAAATGTGATCTTATTATGTGATTACAAATATTCAATTAACTTCTAGTATCACCCTCATAATTAATACTTACATGACTCTTATAGTTTTTTGGATATTAAATTTGAAAATATAGAACATAAAAAATATTAAATAAAATATAAGTTATTTTATTTTATTTTTTTGGGTTACATTTAGGAACCGGCTTCTCTCCAGTCCCAAATCAAATTGAAGAGGCGTTGTTTGGCCCATTAGGTCCACTTTTGAATCTCGTTTTGATGATTTGAACCGTTCATATTTTACTGTTCGTCGAGTATATCATCTTTGTAAAAAATCAAGTCAATTGGATAACGATAACCATGTATTCGGATAAGCTTTGTATGAAAAAATAAATGATGAGAAAATAAATGGTTCATATAAAATTGATCCGAATACACGATTTTCGTTATCTGATCGAATTAATTTTTATATTTGACGAATCTTAAAATACCATCGTTTTAAATTATAAAAGTGACGTCTAAAAACTGGCTCACTGGGCGAAACTGGATTGTCCAATCCGACGAAGGACCGGAGACAGTCCAGTCCCTTACATTTGTGATCTTTTTTCAATCGGTAATAATACATCCCACTAAAAGTGGTGCTCTAAAACACCACTAATGAGTTGGCAAGCACTTTAAATAAAATAAAAAAAAAGACACAAGCAGTGGGCTCCGTCCACTGTCACATCACTAGTGATGCTTTTATAGCATCACTTTCAGTGGTCTCAAGCATTATTATTTTCCAATTTCCATACATCATGTTGTGTTACTCCCAAAACAAATCCATGACTTCTTTCATGACCAATGAGGGCTGTGTATATACACAAGTTTTTTATGTTTGAATGTTAATTTATAACAGAAAAAATATATATGTATGAAATAAAATTTAAATTTTAATTATTTATTCCAATATGAAATCATGATCCACTATGAAAGCTTGATCTGTTATGAAACATTTCAATTTTTACTATTTTTTTGTTTTTTTTTTAAAAAATATTTTCAAACTAATGTGTGTGTTTGGTTTTAATTTTTTTGGATTAAGTTTTTTAAAAATTAAGTTTTTGTTTTTTGTGTTTTTTTATTTTTATTTTTAGTGAATATTTTTAAAACTTTACGAATTTTTTTTCCCTTTTAGATGCACCTTACTTAGATGTATCTAAAAAGTAAAAAATTTGTGAAAAAATATTACCAAACAAATTTTCCCAAAAAAATTTCCCAAAACTTGTAAACCAAACAAGTTTTCCAAACAAATCTCTCTCTCACACACATCAAATCAATCACTTTTTCCAAAACTCCATCTCAAAATAATTTTCCAAAACATCTTTTAAAAAAAACCAAACCAAACATGTTTTCGTACTTTTTATCTCTAAAACACATCTCTCAAACACAAACCAAACATAAGTTTTTGTTTTTTGTGTTTTTTTATTTTTATTTTTAGTGAATATTTTTAAAACTTTAAGAATTTTTTTTCCCTTTTAGATGCACCTTACTTAGATGTATCTAAAAAGTAAAAAATTTGTGAAAAAATATTTTAAAAAATTAATAAATACATAAAAATATGAAAAATATACTAAATACTCGTATTTTTTTTTTATATTTTTGATATTTAGTGAATTTTTAAAAGATTTTTTTTCACAAAAATTATACCTTTTATGTGTATTTATGTTAGGTGTGTCTAAAAATTAAAAAAATATCTTAAAAAATTAAAAAAAATCAGTAAAAATAAAAAAACAAGAAAAATAAGAAAGTAAAATTTTTTGAAAAGTGTTTTTGAAAAATAAAAAACAAGGAAAATATATATTTTTCTGTGGGTGTAAATTTCAGCACATTTGAATAAAAATATGACTGTTGATGTGAAAATATTACCTCTTCCTTGATTTGATAAATAATTAAAATTCACTTTTAACTTTTTATCATTAAATTTAAATTTAATAAAAAATTTGATAAAAATTTGGAGATGCTCTAATACTTTTCACTACGTCCAACTACTTGCACAAACACGGCAAAACTTGAGAGTGACCTATCATCATTTGTATAGTATTTTATTGAATGAAGCCCTTTATCAGGGAAAGAAAAAAATATATAGAGAGAGAAAATTGTTAAAAAATCTAATTTAAATATAAGGTATTAGATTTAGTAGATATTTTTATTTGTTGAGAAATTCTTTTATTGTTTTTGAGAATATTTTATTTTCAATTTTACCTCTTATCCTGTTTAATTTTTTGACTATTTGTTTAAATATTTTTTTATCTATTTAATTTTTTGACTATCTGTTTAATTTTTTTCCTTATCTGTTTAATTTTTTTTACTATATATTGAAATTTCTAACTGTTAAAATTCTTTTATGTTCAAAATTCCTATCTGTTGAAATTATCTGTTAAAAAATCTATCTATTTATTAAATTTTTTGTAAAAAAAATATGTTTGTTAAAATTATTTGTTGAAAAAATCAATCTATTAAAAATCTAATATGTTCAGAATCCAACACTTTTTCTCTATCTCTCTCTACAATCCCACTATCTGTTGAAATATCTTCATCATTTTGAACAAATCTGAGTCATTTTTGAACAGATCTAAGCCATTTTGAATTAGAGTAATGCTAAGAATCCCAAATATTTTACCAACATTTAACATTTTTCTTTGAAATAAATGTAACTATTAGTTTGTGTTTTTTTTTTTTTTTTGATAAGCAACTATTAGTTTGTGTTGGTTTGGGATATTTCATCATTTTGAAATATCTAATATGTTTATCTTTTAAAGTAATTAAACGATCCATTAATGGGGTGTTTGATAACATGATTCAGCACTTAATACTGAATGTATTAAGTGATAATCAATTAAATCTGTTTGATAATCACAATTGATATTACTTAAAAATTTAAGTGCCTCTTAAAATGTAAGTTAAAATTTAAGAAAATTTTAAATCATATGAAACTTATTTAATTCTAACTGAATTTATAAATACTAAACATAAGTATTAGTATACACTATTATAAACTTACCACCACCATCGCTATCGTTATCATCACCACTACCACCACCACCGTCGTCACCACTACCACCATGCTACTACAACCATTAGGGGCGTAAACGAGCTGAACCGAGCCAAGTTTTATTATGTTTGGGCTTGTTTATTAAGATTTTAGAGCTCGAGCTCAATAAAAATTTAAAGAACCAAGCTTGAGTCAAGTTGGCTTAGGTTTGACTCGAGCTTAAGCCTATTCACAAACCTTAACAAGCCAAAAAATTTATAAATTCATATTTGCATATCAAACTAAAGTTACAATTAAATTTTGATTATACAATTATATATACAATATATATATATATATAAACATTCTAAAAAAAGTCAATATTTTATCAAAATAATAATATCTACTACCACTATTATATAAATGTACTATCTATAGTTAACTATTATTACATTTATATTTTTTAAATATATAAATAACATATCTATCTTATTTTTTATATATATTTTTATATCTATACTATATATTAAGCAAAAGGGGATCTTTAACCCCAAGTCTTGTGTGAGTTCCAATCTCCCAATCTAAATTTCCTGATTTTTTGATTTAAAAATAAAATAAAATCTTAGCATTTATTAATTTCTCCCAACTCGCAAGTCTTACCCTCATAATAACACTTTAATGCATTAAGAACAAACATAAAAAAAATTCTTTGAAATCTAACACATATGAATTTTTTGAAATGTCCCAACACATATGATTATTATCTCTCATAATAACATTTTAATGTATTAAGAACAAACATAAAAAAAATTCTTAAAAAGTCCAACACAAATGATTATTATCAAAATATTAAACTTTAATATAATAAGGGGTTTTTTAAACTTTAATCTATACGATATATTAAGCAAAAGAATGTTTTTAACCCCAAGCCTTGTAGGAGCTCCAATCTCCCAATCTAAATTTCTTGATTTAAAAAAAAAAACCTTAGCATTTATTAATTTCTCCCAACCCCCAAGTCTTTCCCTCATAATAATACTTTAATACATTAAGAACAAACATAAAAAAAATTCTTTGAAATCCAACATATGAATTTCTTGAAAAGTCCCAACAAATATGATTATTGTCCATCATAATAATACTTTAATGCATTAAGAATAAGTATAAAAAAAAAATTCTTAAAAAGTCTAACACAAAATATTAAACTTTAATATAATATAACAAAAAAAAAGACATTTAATTCCTTAAAAAGTCTAACACATATGATTATTATCAAAATATTAAACTTTAATATAATATAAAAAATGAAAAAAAGAAGACATTTGAAAAAAAAAAAAAAAACATTTAAAAATCACAATTCAAAAAAAAACCCTTAGCATTTATTAATTAGGGCAAATTATATATACACCCCTCCAGGTTTGGTTAAATTACAGATACCCCCCTGAGGTTTCGGAAATTACATCCCGCCCCCTGAGGTTTGTATTTTCATAACAATTTACCCCCTGAGGTTTATATTTCATAACAAATTACCCCCTAATTTCTTATGCAAATATAGCATTCAGGGGGGAATTCGTAATTTTTCAAACCTCAGGGGGGTATCTGTAATTTTGTCAAACCTGGAGGGGTGTATATGTAATTTGCCCTATTAATTATTCCCAACCCCGAAGTCTTACCCTCATAATAACACTTTAATGCATTAAGAACAAGTATAAAAAAAATTCTTTGAAATCCAACACATGTGAATTCCCTGAAAAGTCTCAATACATATGATTATTATCTCTCGTAATAACACTTTAATGCATTAAGAACAAGCATAAAAAAAATTTATTAAAAAGTCCAACACATATGATTATTATCAAAATATTAACTTTAATATAATACAATAAAAAAAAGACATTTAATTACTTGAAAAGTCTAACACATATGATTATTATCAAAATATTAACTTTAATATAATACAATAAAAAAAAAGACATTTAATTACTTGAAAAGTCTAACACATATGATTATTATCAACATATTAAACTTTAATATAATATAAAAAAGGAAAAAAAGAAGACATTTAAAAAAAAAAGACATTTATAAATCACAATTCACATATATAGATAATTGTAAACACAATCTGTGCATAGCACGGGTGATATGCTAGTATATATTAAGGAAAAGGGAGTTTCTAACCCCAAACCTTGTGGGAGCTCCAATATCCTAATCTAAATTTCCTGATTTTTTAATTTAAAAAGAAAAATAAAAATCTCAGCATTTATTGATTTGATCAAAATCTTTTGATCAACATTTATTAATTTTTTCCAATCCACATGTTTTTCCACATTCTTGCATTTATTGATTTGGTCAAAATCTCCTAATCAGCATTTAAAATCCTTTCATATAAATAATTATAGATACAATCCATGCATAGTTACTGCAGTACCTTTTTCAACTTCTCTTATACACTATAGTTAGTGATAAGATTGTTAAATTATTTTTTTATAAAAAATCTTAAAAAACAGAATTTATATATTAAAAAAATTCTAAAACAAATATAAATATCTATAATTATTCCGTGCATAGCACGGGTGATAGGCTAGTTATTTAATAGATAAATAATAAATATTAAGCGAACCAGCTAACGAGCCGAATTTTAAAATATTTAGGCTGATTTATTAAAAATTTAACGAGCTCGAACTTGAATGTAAAAAAAATTTAATGAACCGAGTTTGAATGAGCTCTTACCGAGCCGAGGTCGAGCCTGTTTACGAACAATTCTATTCATTTGCAACCCTAGCCACCACCATCGCCATCACTACCGCTACCACGACCACCACCATGCCACCGTCACCATTACCGCCGCTGCTACCACCGCCACCGCCGCCGCCGCCACCACCACCACCACCACCACTGCCACCTTTACCACTACCACCATTACCATCGCCATCGCCATCGCCACCGCTACCGCTACCATCACCATCATATCATCACCACTACCACCACCACCATCACAATATAAAAATTGAAATATATAATTTAAAAATAATAAATTTCAAATTTAATTTTATACATATCAAATAATTTATTTTTAATTCAGTACTTAAATTTTTATTAAACAATTTTTTAGTTTAAAAAATTTAACATTTAATTTTCAATTTTCAATTTTATTTATATACACCTAAAGGAACTAATATTATATTTTCAAATTTGTCACTGGCGGCACTGTTACATCATTATTGTCTAAACTTTTAATATTTTGAATATCATTTTCTTTTATAAAAAAAAAACTATACAAAAATTCTATTTTTACATTTTTTTTATATATAAATATATGAGAAATTCAACTATACATATCCTTACCTTATACATCTCTAAGTTATATCATTTTTTTTTTTGTTATGTCCAATTTTTTTATTTATAATTTTATTTTACTTATGACTCATGAAATATTTACTTATGTCTCATATTATTTTATTGTAACTTAAAAAAAATATGAACATTTTTTTTTTATTTATAAATTGCGTTCCCTAAACAAGTTAATATATAAACTACAAAAATTAAATTAATGAAGAATAAATTACCTGGATAAAAACAAGTGGAGAAAAACAAAGATCAGGACCAACGACTTGACAATAAACAAGCTGATCATCATCAACTAAACAACGGTCCTTCAATCCCAGCCATTCATCTAGTGTTTTGCTACAGCTACCTTCGACGATCCGAACACCGCTGTCATTGTACTTGATGAATGGTCGGCCGTTTTTTTCTGACCGTCGGATCCTCCCGCAAGTTAGGTGGTAGAGATCTAGCCATTGAAACATTGGTGTCTTGAGCTGTGAGATATCTAAACCTCGGACCGAGTCACTGTCGAAGAAGTAGAGTCCTCTTATGTAATGAAGCTTCATGGCTAAGTCCATGTTGGTTAGTTCATGGACCTTGTCGTCTCCGGTCACCCTCGCCGGCACCACCGACGACAGCCTGATGTTGTGTACCGGGTTTTGGACATCGTCGGTTGACACCATGTTAGACAGAGACAGAGATAAGAGAGGAAGCTGGGAAGAGAGGGATAGAGGGAGATTATCATGCGTTCTCTATATATACACACACAGGCGGAGGGAGGGGTCACGTGCCCTGGGTTTTTGCATATTTATATTATTTCTCTTATATATGAAATTTATATTTAATTTGTGTTTTATAAAATTATAATAATGCCCCTTTCTTAAATTATGTAAAAAAAAAATTATATTTTAAATTTTTTAAAAGTGCTCTACTATATGTTTTTTTGGTTCAGTTTTTTATACTCTAAATTAGAAAGTTTTTTTTTTTTTTTTGATAACCGAGTGTCCGGGCCAGCATCCCTTCGGAGTGTCGCATCTCGACTAATCTCGGGGCCCTGAGCTGATCGACCGGGCAAAGACGCAGTGGCCCGCCAGTAGCCAGCTGGGGGTGGGATTCGAACCTGAGACCTAGTGAGGAGCATACTCCTAGGTCCTTGGTCCCTTGCCCTCAACCAACTGGGAAAGTTAGTGGTAAGAATTGAATTAAGTGAACATTTCAATCTTAGGCCTCGTTTGGCAAGAGGCTATTTTAGCCAATTAGTCAAAAAGTTACTAAATTAGCCAAAAAGCTAACAACCCATACCAAAAAGTCAAAGATTCTCTTTTCTCTCTACTTTTTGCACATCTTTTCGTAATTAGCCAAAAAGTCATCTCAAACATACAAGTTTTTTTTACCTACCTTTTTAGCCAAATAGCCAAAAATTTACTAAATTAGCATGTTCCCAAATGAGGCCTTATTATGAGATTTGTTTAGGTTATTGTTTTCTTCATTGTGGGTTTTTTTGTTGAGTTGATAGTATTGAATTTGTTAATCATAAATTCAGTTGGGTTGTTGATTGTGAATTTCTAAGCTATATTGATGTAACTCTTATGATAATTGTAATATTGAATCTTAACAATAGACCTAAAAAAAATGTATAAATTTAATAATATCTTGTTTATTGTGGATTTTTTTTTTCTTCCTTTCAATGATGTGGGTAATATATGCCCCTCTATCTTTTTTTTTTTTTTTTGATCATAAAAAAATGGGCTGTGAGGTGTCATCACGGCCCCGTGGGCCCTGACCCCGGGGTAACCGGTTGCCAGTCAGGAATTAACCCTCACCATGTGAGGGACCCACCACCGAGGCACCAGAGGAGCTCAACTATACTTCACAGGCCGCCGAGGGTTCGAACCGGAGTACATAGGGGGGGTCTCAAAGAGAACACTTTTACACTCCTCCCAGGATTCGACCCTGGGTCATGCCTGTGGAGACAAGTTGCTTTCTCTACTGGGCCACCACCCCCGGTGGTTATGTGCCCCTCTATCTTGAATTTCTAGTTCTGTCACTATATACACATAAATAATTAAAGTAGCTTGTTTTTTTTATAGTGATTTTTTTTATGAGTATTGTTATTTATTTCTAAAATTAGATTCATTTTCTAAATTAATCATTTTTTTGACATATCACTGGATTCAGAAAATGAATATAAAAAGTGGACTTTTATATCATATTCTTTTTCTTTTGTTTATATAGGTGAGATTTAATTTTATAAAAATTAAAAGAATAATAATACTGATAATCAATTTTAAAAAAAATTCAAACATGTAAAAAATCACTTTAAAATAGAAGATTTAGACTTATTATAATTACACTTATTTCACACTCATAAAAAGAGTTAAAGGGTTGTTTGGCAACTCCTACAAAAGTATACTTATTTATCTTCTTCTTTTTTTTTTTTGAGTCATATCTTTTTATTATTTTTCTGTATATCTTTTCATAAAAAATTAAAAAAAAAATACTTATTTAGCACTTCTCAAACAATCTTAGTATGTGAGTCCAATATTACATGATTGTGGATCGCAAACACTCTTGATCTCTTTGGAGTGGAGCACTAATGATGTGGCAGTGGGCTCCGCCGACTTTCTATGCCTTGTTTCTTTTTTCTTTTTTTTTACCATTCCCAATGCATTAGTGCTATTAATGATGTATTTTTTAGTGATCTAAATCATTGTTGTTGTTTGAATAGGGAAATGAGTATAATAAGATCCTTACTAAGGCACTGTTTGGGAAGAAGTTGGTTGGGCTTTTTTGGCTATTTTAGCCACAAAAAACAAAATAGGCTATTTTAGCCATAACAAACAAAATATCACATCCAACCCATAATCATTACACTATTCTCTCACAAAAAAAACCAAAAAAGCTAAAAAGCCAAAAAGCCCTTCCCAAACCAAGCTTTTTAGCCCAGGCTAAAATAGCCAAAAAAGTCAAAAAGCCAAAAAGCCAACCCACTTCCCAAACGGAGGCTAATTAGTTTGTCACGACCCCAAACCGCCTCTAGTAGGATGGTGCCGTGATGGCCAGTAATCTGAGATTACCGGAGGCCAACTTTCAAAATTCACACACAATCAAAGTATTACATAGGGGGCTAACAAGTGCGGAAGCAATACATACAAATCTAATTAGTCCATAAGAGCCGTGCATAAGTCAAATGGAATGGCATACATCTTTACATAGCTTTAAAACTTGAATACAACCAAAACAAAATACATATTACATCTTGATAAAAGGCTTCTCAAGCCGACATATACAAAAAAAACACTTGAACTACAAATCGAGAAACATAATCTTCCAGATTGCCGACATCCTCACTGCCGACATAACATACATACAAAACACACATCTCGGCGTAGCCGACTTCTTGCTTGTTACCTACATATATACATAAGGAGGGTGAGCTTGGATACTCAGTGAATGGTATAAGTAATAAAGGGGTTAAATGAATGATACCGAGATCTTTTCAAACAATACATAGTATATCCTTATCAAAGCCATACATAACATAGCTTAGCTTGACTTGAAATAAAACATCAATCAAACCTTGGTTTTTCAAAACTTGTTTGGGATACTTAACTTACGTCAACTTAAAACATGGGGTGATGACATTCCGGGCAAAACAAAAGCATAACCTCGGCATCGAGCACACCCGTTCATAGTCCGTCGGTGGCCGATATCTTAACAAGGGTGCTACATAGGCTTAACGTCCCCTAGCACAAAAGGACGGTGCTACCTAGGCTTAAAGTCCCCTAGCACGGAAGGACTATGCTACTTAGGCTTAAAGTCCCCTAGCACGGAAGGACTATGTTACCTAGGCTTAACGTCCCCTAACACGAAAGGACGGTGTTACTTAGGCTTAACGTCCCCTAACACGAAAGAACGGTGTTACTTAGGCTTAACGTCCCCTAACGCGAAAGGACTATGCTACTTAGGCTTAAAGTCCCCTATCACGGAAGGACTATGTTACCTAGGCTTAACGTTCCCTAACACGAAAGGACGGTGTTACTTAGGCTTAACGTCCCCTAACACGAAAGGACAGTGTTACTTAGGCTTAACGTCCCCTAACACGAAATGATGGTTCCAAGAATGTCATCCAAAACAAAGCTTATACTTGATACATAAAATAGGGATATCATTCATGCTTAACAAATACTTTTATCAAAACAAGGCAAAGCTTTATCAAAACTTTATAACATAGCTGTATTAAAAATACCACTCACATAGCTCTTCGGACGTCGGGATCAAGACAAAGGTCCAAGTCCTACAAACACATGGCAAAGTATACTGAACATACTTCTCAAAACAAGTCTTACATGCATGCAAGTGATCTCGGGAAAACATGCTGGAAGTCAAAACACTGTTTTACATGTCAGGAAGACATGCTGGGTACCAACCAGGTCTTTGCCGAGGTCCCACACCTCCTGACCGAGATGGGTTACCTAGACTTCGGCGTGCGGCTGCATGTCGAGGTGTACGCAAGACAAGCTAAAGATGTAAGTGATCATGCAAGGTAGGCCAAGGTGAGATACGATGCTTGGCCTAAGTGTAAAGTCTAGGTAAGAGTGATCTCGGCGACTACACCTGGGGAAGTGAGGTCTGGAGATCTGGGTTTCCACCCGTGAAGAACATGAAGAACATAAACATGAAGACCATGAAGAATATGAATGCTAAAATCATAACTTCTTTATTACAAAAATCTGGGATTTCATGCTATGAGTTCGAAAACATGGACCTGGGTATCCATGCTTGAAGATCATATGGAAACAAACACAAAAACATGCATCTTGATAAAAACTTTCGGATCAAAACATGACTTTTCTTGAAGAACACATGAATACTATTTTCTCTTTCTAAAACCGAAATTCAAAGCAATGCATGGCTTACAAGTCATATTCAATCATGCAATGCAATAACATGAACATAAAGAACAACATGGGTAGATCAAGAATCTAACCTTAGAACACGGATCTAACGGTTCGATCTCTAGGGATCAAGCTTGGAAATCTACTCTCCCTCAAGAACTCCACTCCCTCTTCTAGAGCTTCTCTCTCTTCTTCAAAAACAAGGATATAACAAATGAAAGGTTTCTCCCTCTGCCGGCTGACTTAACACTCAGCTCAAACACGTGGCAACGGCTGGTTGGCTCTCCTAAAAAAGGTGATAGATTGACAAGACATGTGTAAGACAAAGTGTATCTAACAAGCTATCCGGTAAGGCACTTCGGCAAGTGATGACATCAGCTAAGGACAAAGCTTCGGCAACTAAGGTGACAATGACCTCGGCTAGGAAGGACAACACTTGACTAAGCTGTGCCACACCTTGGCCTAGATGTGCTACACCTCGGTCTAGGTCATACCACTACAGGACAAGATCACTTAGGTGGAAAGGTAACATCTCGGCCTAGATAGTACACATCTCGGCCTTGGTGATGAACACCTCGGCCTAGACAATGACATCTCGGCCAATATGTCAGGGCAAAGGTGGAGGTCAAACAAAGTGGTTCCAAGATAATTTTAGACTGAAGATGACCTCGGCTTGGAATGATCTAGGCTTAACATAGCTTAGGCTTGAGACACCAAGGAAGAAACAAAGCATGTACACAACACTTAGGCAAATCACATAAACACAAAACAAGACATGGACCTTACTTAGGCAAAACAAGTCATAAACATACAAATACAAGCTTAACGAGTCATAATCATACAAATGCTCATGAAG